GAGCCAGTCTGCCCAAGTTTTCACTTTGGGCTCCCATTCTCCAGACCTCCTCCCCAACTTCCCTACCCCAAGGATGTCAGAAACAATCAACATAATTTTTCATCAGTTATAGCTTGGTGACCCTGCTTTGGTCCCAGCTATTATCTCCTGAGGACAGGCACATTATGGAATGTGAGAGTGAGACTCTCATCCTGGAGGTTCTGACAACTGAGTCCAGGCTGCTGTGGCCAGTGGGAGGGTACCTAAGGAGTCAAATCTCAGAGAATCTGTGACCCAGCAGCACTTCCCACAGATACCCATTTAAGGTAATATCTGGCAAAAGCTTTGAAAAAGAGAATTGAGAAATTAAAACGCGACAGGGGAATGATTTAAAGCTTGCAAATGAAACAGGGAGGATGGGACTGTGGCAGAAAGTATTTTGCAAAAATTACTGCAAAAATATTTCTGGTCCTATATGCTTTTCAAGAATCTTGTCACTTGCTCATCAAGAGGAATTTATTTATTTTCTTGTCTGAACTTTGTGGATCTTGGCAACTCCTTCAAGGATGTGACTGAAGTGATGTCCTGTGACCTCTGAGGTTGAGTTAGAAAAGGTCATAGAGTTACCACCTGGCTCTCTCTCTCTCTCTCTCTCTCTCTCTCTCTCTCTCTCTCTCTGAAATATATTCAATTTATTTCCCTAAAACCCTTGAATCTCCATTCTGTTGTTGGGATAATGTAAATTTTTTTTTTAAATTTTTTATTGTTGGTTGTTCAAAACATTACATAGTTCTTGATATATCATATTTCACACTTTGATTCAAGTGGGTTATGAACTCCCATTTTTACCCCGTATACAGATTGCAGAATCACATCAGTTACACATCCATTGATTTACATATTGCCATACTAGTGTCTGTTGTATTCTGCTGCCTTTCCTATCCTCTACTATCCGATAATGTAAAATTTTATCTTTACATTTTATATACATTTTCAAGGCAAAACTTACTTACATAGCATGTAATACGAGTTAATATTTATTTTAGTTATATATGTGTGTGTGTGTGTGTGTGTGTATAAACAAACAGGGAGATCAAGTAACTAGATCAATCAATCAATGAAAGGAAATACACACACACACACATATTTCCATTTATTTATTTATTTATTTTTGGCCCTCTCTCTTGAACATCTGAATTTAGAACCTTGGGAGGAAGACTAAGCTACATAGAGAATTCAAATGCAAGTTCTCTGGCTATCAGCCTTAGCTGAGGTACTAGCTGTTAGCTGGCATTACCTGCTAGATGAGTGGCCTGGCTGAGCTTTCTGGCCATTCTGATACAACCTTTGCCTCACCCCAGTCTTCAAGTCTTCCAGCTGAGGCTTCAGACATTGTGGAGTAGAGACAAACCATTCCTGTGCTGGGAATTCCTGGCCCATATAACCCATTGGCATAATAAATGGTTTATGCCACTAAGTTTTTAGTTAATTTGTTGCAAGCAAGAAATAACGAGAACAGGAACCTTGGCTTGAGGGGATCTCTGGGCATGTTCCTTTTGCCTTCTGCTAAGCCCTCCTCTTCCAGGTGTCTTCTATAGGTCATATCTTTCAGGGGCTCCATTTTTTTTTTAAATTTTTTATTTGTTTTAATTAGTTACTTGCAATGGCACTGGGCTTTCCCACTTCAAGTTCATCAGACATGTTTTTAAAGGTCTGAATCTCAATTGTGCAGGATTTAGCCTTTTTTCTTTGGTCTTGAGGGTTCTCAGCCTCTAGATAAAGCAAGCCCTAGATAAATCAGGAGGTAAGCTTAGTCACAATTTCGGGGTTTGAATGTTCTGTAACCATTAAGGAATATGCAGTGGTGAAGGGTGATGGAAAGTGGGGAGAAAGAGAAGAACCTAACTCCCAGCACCTCTGACTTACTTAGGACCTAAAGCCATACTTACCTAATAACACGAGCACAGTAAAACCTTCACTCTAGCACTGTGATATCACTTCTTAATCACAACTCTTTGACTCAGAATTTTAAAAGCCAAGATAAAGGGAATTGACTATCTTGTATATTTTTATACTCTAAACACTTAGAATAGTGCCTGAAACATGGTACATACCCAATAAATATTTGTTGAATTTAAAAAAGGACAAATTAATGAACAAATGAAAGAAAATCTTTCCCTCCTTCTAGAGAGCAATATACAATATTAGATTAGCACAGTGAGATTAGGAAGCTGCTGTATTCAATAAGTTGGCATTCAGTTACAGTAGGTAATATGTTTCATGTTGCTCAAAGTAAATATTAAAACTTAAAACTGAGTTCTTTGAGGGCAGAGGCCACATTTTATTCAATTCTGTATCCCTAGCATCTGCCACTTTGCCTGGCACTTGCTAAGTGTTTAGTACATATTTTCACTAATTGAATGTCAAACAGAGACTGGTAGAAATATTTTAAATCATTTACTTCCTCTTGCCTAGTAAATGGCAGGAGGCAGTGACAAAAAAGGATGCTGGCCAATGTACCTGGTCCCAGGAGGAGTTAGATTAGAAATCAGAAGTCCTGGGGTTCTCAGCCTCTAAAATCTCATGAGAACAAGAAGACTCAAGAGACTGTAATCTAAGTGTGATATTTATTGGTGTGAATAGGAAAACAAGGTACAGACTTCCACTTTAGCTTTCAAAGGTGATTGTCTATGATTGCTTCAAATAGGATTTTCTTTCAGAGCTAATTTTAGACATGAGCTATTAATTTATTTATCCATTTATTTATTCATTCATTCCATCTTTACTGAGTTCTACCTGTTGAGATTTGTTTTATTTGCTCAAAAGACAGTGGAGCATTCATAGAATCTCCATTTCCTAAAAAATAAACTGACTGAGCAACAAAACGATATGCTATCTTATAGAGACTTGTGGAAATTATATTGTAAAATCCTCACAAGTCAGAATTAACTAATCCAATGTATCTCAAAATGTGACCCTAGAACAATATGCATGTAGAATTACTAGACCATTATTAAAGACAGATCTCTGTGATCTCTATTTTTAGTATAGATGAGATATAGAGATCTCACATACAAATTCCTGAGAAGAAAATAACATAGTAAACCTATTCTTCCCTTGCTAACCTCACAATTTAGAAACAAACTATTAAAATATGTATTATTAAAATAGAGAACTTTTAAAAACAATTTATAATTGCATTTAATTTTTAAAGAAGTATTAATTGGAGGGGTGCAAAAAACTTTAATTTTTTTTAACTTTGAAATATTTCCCATGTGGACAATTTATTTCTTAATTTTATTTTTGTTTCAATTAACTTTTTTTTTTTAATTTTTTATTGTTGGCTGTTCAAAACATTACATAGTTCTTGATATATCATATTTCACACTTTGATTCAAGTGGGTTATGAGCTCCCATTTTTACCCCATATACAGATTGCAGAATCACATCAGTTACACATCCATTGATTTACATATTGCCATACTAGTGTCTGTTGTGTTCTGCTGCCTTTCCTATCCTCTACTATCCCCCCTCCCCTCCCCTCCCCTCCCCTCCCCTCTTCTCTCTCTGCCCCCTCTACTGACATTCATTTGTCCCCCTTGTATTATTTTTCCCTTTCCCCTCACTTCCTCTTGTATGTACTTTTGTATAACTCTGAGGGTCTCCTTCCATTTCCATGCAATTTCCCTTCTCTCTCCCTTTCCCTCCCACCTCTCATCCCTGTTTAATGTTAATCTTCTTCTCATGCTCTTCGACCCTACTCTGTTCTTAGTTACTCTCCTTATATCAAAGAAGACATTTGGCATTTGTTTTTTAGGGATTGGCTAGCTTCACTTAGCATAATCTGCTCTAATGCCATCCATTTCCCTGTAAATTCTATGATTTTGTCATTTTTTAATGCAGAGTAATACTCCATTGTGTATAAATGCCACATTTTTTTTATCCATTCATCTATTGAAGGGCATCTAGGTTGGTTCCACAGTCTTGCTATTGTGAATTGTGCTGCTATGAACTCAATTAACTTTTAATAATTGTACATATTTACTGTGTGCTGTGTGATATTTCAGTACATGTATAAAACCTGTACTGATCAAATTAGAGTAATTAACATTTCTATTTTTTTAATCATTGTTTTATGTTTGGAGCTTTCAAGATCCTGTCTTCATAAAACATATAACAGATTGTTGTGTACTATGCTCACCCCACTGTACTGTAGAACACTAGAACTTATTCTTCTTATTTAACTGTGTTTTGGTACCTGTTATGCAGCTTCCCCTATCCCCCTTCTTCTCCACTTTTCCTAACCTCTAGTAGTTATCATTCTATACTTTTCTAGTTGAAGATAAACTTTTTAACTTTTATAAATAAGAGGGAACATGCAGCCCTTGTCTCTCTGGGTCTGGCATATTTCACTTAATGTCCTTTAGTTCCATCCACTTTGCCATACATGACAGGATTTCATTATTTTTTTATGGCTAAATGATATTCTGTTGTGTATGGAATGCTACAAAATTTCTCTATCTATTTATCTGTTGGTGGATAAATGGACACTAGGTTGATTTCCTATTTTGGCTACTGTCAATAGTGCTATAATAAATAGGAAGTGCAGGTAATTTTTTGATATGCTGATCTCATTTCCTTTGGATATATACCCAGAATTGGGCTAGCTGGATCATAAGGTAGCTGTATTTCTAGTTTTTGAGGAACCTCACATTCATGTTCAAAATGTCTATACTAATTTTCATTCCCACTAGCAATGTGTAAAAATTTCCTTTTCTCCATATCCTTACCAACATTTGTTAAAAGAAAGAAGTTTCGAAACCTTGATGTAGCATGTACAAACCCTTCTGAATTTGAAAAACAATAAACAGTAATCATCAACTGTGAGAGGGAGCTCTTGCCCCTAGATTGTACTGTTTTCTATACTGGTTCCCAAAGTGCTGAAATACAGCTCAGACCCTGTTATCTTTTCCTTGCTTTATCCCCAAACTCACTCTTCTTCCCAGGATACTTTTACTCACTTTCTGAATTTTCCTAATCTGGTCAGAGAGTGTGTCTAACAGGCGAGTTTTCAGGAAGTCCATCACCTTGACCACCCGGCCATCAATGTAGCAACTGGAATAAAAATAAAATAAGAATCAGATAAAATCTTGAGCGGGGGGTTATAAGTATACTTCTCTAGTCAGAAGTCTCTGTTGCTGAGGATGCTGAGGAAACAGCCCAGGCATCTACCTGGCTCTTATCCTAAAAGGTTTTGATCCGGAGTGCTTTTCAAACCAATCATAGGCTTTTTATCTTCTCTATTTCCATTTTCATTTGTAGGCTATACTGTGATATTTTCCCCAACCTTTGTCATGTGAAAGTCCCTTGCTGGCTCTGTGAGAACTGACAGGAATTCCATAATACAACTTGGATACATGAAAAAGCTGCATTTTTTCCTTTGGGAAAGTGACTTTCTACTCATCTCTTTGCCCATCCCTATCCCTACCTTAAAGTGATAAAATATGTGAAGACTTTCCAAGGAATACTCACACATACTGATAGGTTTTCAAACCTTTAAATAAAATAAACACCAAAGTAGCAATCTGACTCAGTGCAGCAAGGAGCGTCTCAAACATCTCCAGCTTGTTTCCCTGGCAAAATACCTTAGTCAACCTTCTCCCACTACCTCTGGGATGAATGAATGAGTGAATAAATGAACAAGTATACAAATAAATAATATAAATTAAAGCCAAGAGCCCCCTTCTAAAATAGTAAACAGTTGGTACCCATTGGGTTTTTATTAGCTAAAGTGAAACATCAAATGCTGACATGATATTGTGAACAGTTGACCAAAACAGGACTATGCAGTTTTATGGGGGCCTCCTTTGTGAGTCTCTTTTTCTGAAAACTAAACTGAGATTGGCCCAGGATATGGTGACCTTCATTACCTCAAACCTTCCCTCATCCTCATCTTTGCAAAATTGAATTGAACTGAATTGAGTCAGTTTCTAAACACTTATGATTCCTGGGTGCCTTTTATGACCCACTAAGATCTCCTTGGTTGATGACTAGTGATAGATTCTTTTTCACCTTTAATAGGAGATCCACTCATCAGTACATATTATAGAACTATGTGAAAATTGTTTTTAATGTTAAATTCCCAAACAACATGTGGTATATTGGAATGGTTAGATTTTTAAACCTTTTTTTTTTTTTTTTTTGCTAAAATAGGTGTTTGAGTAAGTCCCACTTACTGAGATCCCCTAGGCCTCCTTTACCACTTCAAGACATTTCCACAGTATTCAATGTTTAAATCATTGGTAAGAAGACTTTACACAGTTACATAGTCTCTATGGGCCTCAGTTTTCTTCTTTTCTTCCTTAGCTTCTTCCTGTGTGTGTGTGTGTGTATGTGTGTGTGTCTGTGTGTGTGTGTGGTGTTGGGGACTAAACCCAGAGCCTCACACATGTTAGGCAAACATTCTAACACTGAGCTACATCTGCAGCCCTTTTACATTTTTATTTTGAGATGGGGGTCTCACTAAGTTGTCATTCTTCTGCCTTAACCTCCCATAGATGAGATTATAGGTGTGCCGAATCATGCCCAACTCAGTTTTCTTATTTTTTAAAAAGGGTTAACACATCTATTTCTCTGGATCAATTGCAAATTAAGGATATAACAAGACTAAAATACCTGGCATACAATAGATACCCAAATGCTTTTAGTTCTTTTCTACTTTTTCTAGTTTTCAGCTCACAAATATGGGGTTATAAGGAATAGAGAACTGATTAATGAGATTATGTGTAAGTATAGAGTTTTAAAAAAGTGGAAATGCTGTCCTAAAGGGTACATATTTCTAAACTTTTTAATGGTTACTTAGGGACTAAAACAAACAATGATATGGTATTCCACCTCATCCATGGTAAGCTAAGATTCAGATTCAACACACATTTATTATATGCAACGCACAGTGCCAGGCATGGCCATTTCCTTAAGATCTCTTACAACCTCTTCCTGTTAGTCTTCAATATTAGCACATTTGATTTTTTTTTAAAGTTGAGATAGATGGTGTATTACATAAAAGCTAGGCATATTGTGACAGTGTAAATTAATAATAGTTTCTGCAATACTAATTTAACACATGGTTGAAGACATGAATATTTGTTATCTATCATACAGTGAGTAGGCATATGCCAAACACTGTAATTATTCTTTTATTATTTAATGAAACATATAATTTCCTCTTTTCCTTTTGTTAGTTCCCCAGTAAATAATATTAAGGGTCAAAATTCATAATTTTTACCAGCAACACATATTGTTTAATATATATTGAGATAAAAAATGCCAGATGTAGCTTTTCAGTATGTGGGATTCCCTCACTAGTCCACCTAATACATGGCCCAATGTGCAGCTTCCTTCACTTTTTTATACCTTTCTTTTATCACCTTTCTTTTATCACTTTTTACACAGACTCTAGAATTAAAAAATCCTGGCTCAATCTTTTTGCCACTTACTACTACCTATGTGATACTGGATTTCCCTTTCTTTAAGAGGGGTTTAAAAAGAATCCAGACCTATATTATTTCCACAGGGTTACTTTACTGACCAAATAAGGAAAAATGCTGGCCACAGGGCCTGGCATATCAAAGATGAATAGCAAATAACTAAATCTCCTCTGTCAGGTTCCTTACCAATTAATGTAGCAGAAACTCAGAGAGGCAATGGGTGGGGTGTGCAGGGGAAGCCTCTCTCCAGAGAGGAGCATAATTATCCACTATAGGATTTGAAGGAGAAAAGAACAGAGCAGGATTTCCAGCAGGTTGGAGGCAGAGGGAAGTCTATTGCCTGGTACCGTGTACTCAATGACTAATATTCGGTTTTTCTGGACCCAGAAAAAGTCCAATTCGTCTTTCATGTACACCTCAGAGAAGAGCACCTATTTTTTTATTAAAACTTTGACTTGAGGTTTTAGAGCCTATTCTTGACCTAATTTTTAACCTACCAAGCTGAATTCAATGATTCTCAGTCGGTTTTGAGCTACTCCTGAATGCTGTGAATTAGATAACAGCAGGAAAAGCTACAGGTATGGAAACCAGTGGACAAAGTTATCTTAATAATGCAAGTAAGTAGTGATCTGGGTCTCAATAAGAGGTCACAAAATAAGTAAGAGTGAGAGGCTATGAAGGAAGAACTCATTGCCTAGTGAGGGTGAGGGCAAGGAAAGGACTCAGGGGTATATGCTCATGAGAGAGAATGTTCTGAAGAATACAGATGCCAAGGACATGTGGGCTAGTCAGTCTGGGGTACAGATTTTCAGAGGTGACAAATAGGATTCTGTTTGAGATACCAAAGATAATGAAGAATATCAAGTAGGACCAAGTAGCTGCATTTTTGAGGAGTTACACAGAAAAGTTGAGACATAAATGTTGACCTGGAGCTCTTCTCCAGCTTATATGTAATGCATAAACCATGGCTACAGAGGCGCTCTCCAAGCAAATAATGGAAGTTAACAGGGGTGTCAGAGACCCTTTGAAATGCTTCTGAAGTATAGCCCAGGGGATTGCTGTCACCTTTACCCAGTTAAGGATCCCTTCCCATCACAGCATCTTTAAAAAAAAAAAAACAATTAAAAAAATTTTTTTTAGTTGTAGTTGGACACATACCTTTATTTAATTTTTATTGGTGCTGAGGATGGAACCCAGGGCCTTGCACGTGCTAGGTGAGCGCTCTACTGCTGAGCCACAACCCCAGCCCCTCACAGCATCTTTTAAATAAACTTGATCTGAGTTCAATTCACATTTGGGTGTCAAAGGAAACCTCATATTATATTGATAAGATTCAGCAACTTTTCTTTACAACTTCATACTTACATTTATATTGTATGGAAATAGGAACTTTGGTCACCAGAATTTGGTATTATTTTTAATAGAGGGGGTGATTTAAGCATTGAGTATGCATCTAATAAATTCCTAAGCCTCTTTCTTGACTCTTGAACAATTAGCTTTCTGAATTTATCCTTTGTAATGGTGAAGCTTCTAAGAAAACATTTAGTATGGGCAATCTGTGGCTATGAAAAAATTCCTTCCTGTTTCAGAGGTTTGGTTTTGATGGTGGCTCCCTGTAGTGAGGACCCAATATATCACTTAGATTTGGATATGAAGGAGGTGAAGTAGTCTGTGGTGACCATTTGGTAACAGATTGTTAAAAAATATAATATTGGTGATTTCTTTCTTTTCTTTTTTTTTTTTGGTGGGGGAGTACAGAGGATTGAACCCAGGTCCTAGTACATGCTAGAGAAATACTCTATCACAGAGCGAAACGCCTAGCTCCAATGATGGTGATTTCTAACAAAGTCTGTGCAAAAGGAAGTAGAGCTAAATTACGACTGAACATCCAGTGATCTGGGACCAACTCTCTCTGCTTTTCTTTCTCATTAGGAAGATAAACATGATTTTCACCTTTATCTCACCAGTTTCCCCAAGAGTTAATTAACTAATTTAGTAATGGCTACAAAGGTCTCTGAAGACCAAATAAATTAGAGGGGAAAAAAAATTGGGGGGAGGAAGAGGGAAACGAATGATCAATTAGAGGTGTTCTGACAACTTCCACATAAATCCTGACAGAATGGTTTTAGAATCACCTACACTGTTACTTCTAGGTAAATCACGGCCCTCCTTCAAGTTTTATTGAAACTTCAGCATCTCTTACAGTCACACCACTAGTGACTAAGCTGTTCAACTAAAAGCTGAAGCTAAGAAAGGCAGTGCTGTAATAACCTTTTTGGCAACTATTACAAATGCAATAAGGTTGAAACCTTCATGCATGATCAAATAATTTGTCTTGCTCATGACAGCAACCTTCATTTCTGTCTCCAGATTGGCAGGTTTTATCAAGCATACATCATGGAGGTGGCAAGGACAGCAGAGTATACAAAGTAAGTTTAACCACTTACCAATTTATTTACCAACTCTATTGTCCACCTGAGATTTAAATTTTATTCCTTGTATAATACACTTCATTTTGGTTTATTTGAAATAGTGCCCTTTAATTTTTATTATAAAAGAAATGAATGCTCATTGTGCACCAGTTAGAAAATAAGCACAAAATTGAAATATAAAATGAAAAATCACCTA